GCGTGTGATATAATCTCGGCTATGTGTGGAGAGGCAGCAACGATTATGTTTGAGCACGTCACACGATTCATCATTGAATAATCACCCGTTAACACACACATCGTGTGCGTTTAAATAAAACACGGCAATTAGTTTAATACGTGCACGTTTTATTCCGATTTAATTGGACGACATGGGTGGAAACGGTGTCTTTATCATCAACGTGCACATACATATAATACACACACTTAAGATAAAGTTTTTCGTGCGTGTTGTTTTTTTCCCCCTTGTGTTCGTGTTCCGTGCATGTATAATATGGGTGGGGCCATTGATAAGCAATGCATTCTCGTGTTAGCATGTGTGGGTGTTTGGTGTACCGATTGCCCTTTTTTTTGTTTCTCTTTTCGTCTAGTTGACAAAGCTCTGGGCGTGTGCTCGCGCGGTTGTCGTTTGGTCTGTTGCTGTTGTTATATAATTTAGAGAGGGAAAATAAATACGAAAGATATTCTTTTTTTTTGTTAAATTCACGCAAAGTTACTGTTCCAAGTGTGTTAATTGAATTTTCAAACATTGAAATACCAAAATAATAGTCCAATATTTCGGACAGTAAATTAAATTGGCACTCTACGGTCTTTTTTCGAATCCTTTTATTTTTTTAAGTATTATTAAATTTAGTAGATACAGTAATACTAAATACTATATGCTATTAATAAAAAATAAAGATGTAAATTTAAAAGCATTGCAATTGAATTTACAATAATGTAATACATTGTAATAAACACTTAATTTCAATTTTCATAAACTTATAATGCATGGTCAAATATTATTATTATGAAATAAAAAAAATCAAAATCTTTTGCCTTGTTGTACTGTCCAATAAAATTTAAATTTTTCAATAAATTGGATGATTACAAGCGCTTAGATTAGCACTGTTTTTATTTAAAGTATTCATTCATTTTATCCCTGATATCTTTTTTCGTGAATGCCAAAAAACTGTATGTATGTTGGTACAAGCTGTTATCATTAATATTAATTAATTATATAATTGCGGTGTACGAAAGAGGCTCTTTTATCTTACAATTAACATGTCGTTCACTAAAAGCAGTAAACAATTTTTTCAAAACTAAATAAAAGAGTACATGTGAATAAACCTTGAATTTTTCTTTTTCAATTTTTTCAGATCTAAACCATACGGAAGTGACTTCATCATCGGAGATGGGCCGCATCAATATCTGCAACCGAGGACTCGTGATCTTGGGATAAATAAAAATATCAAAGACAAACAAAAGCAATAAATTAAATATCGAAGAAAAAGAAAATGCGGGAGCGACCAGGTGTGGGATCCCATCATCATCGATAATTGACACGATGTCGACGATGGACCCACCCGATAGTTTTGTGCCTCGTATTTTTTGAAAAACTCTATTTTGTACACACATGGTTGGCGGTGATTGTTTGAGCGTCGCGAGAGTGCGCGTTTAAAGATTGGGAAAGAAAAGAGAAAAAAAAGAAAAAGAAAGTAACGATGTCGTTCCTGTCGAACCTGAAGAAAGCCTTCCACTTTGGCGGCAATGAGGCTAAAAAGAAGAAGCTCTACAACAACATCAAGATGGACGTCAATCCCGAGGAGTTTTGGGATATGATCGGAGAGCTGGGAGATGGCGCTTTCGGGAAGGTTTACAAGGTAATTTTATGAGATAATATGTAGCTAACTTTTTTTTTTACAATTGATTGGAGATTTGAACTCGGAACCCCTACCCTTTGAGACTAAATCAGATGATTTTTTAGCAAATTTATTTTTGGTATGCTGCATTAGTTAAAGTCACTAACTTGGGATGAAAAGTGTTATACTTTATTTAGTGGCAGCTCATGAAATAAAGTTG